ATTTGAGCCATGTGGCTGATGTGTGGATTTGTGTTTTTCTCTAGCCAGAGGGACTGTCCAGGGAATACACCTACAGTGTGTTCTTCTGCCCAAATGGTAAGTTCATGATTCAAATGAGATATTCTATTTGTTTGGTTCAGTTTTAAATAGAAACATTTTGGCTTCATCTTGTTTAAAATGAAAAAAAAAAAGTTAAAATCCCCTCTTGGTTTCTATTTCTCTGACTGATGAGTTATGCTATGTAGGAGGAACCTGTGAAGTGACTCTTGCCTGTCTGGCTAACTATGAATTTACTCAAAGTGCTCAAGTGATTTCTGGAAATTGTCATTAAATTCCTTTACTTTATGAAACAGTTTGAGTATTCAGCACTGTGGACAGTAACTGGGACTGTGCTATATTTTCAGCTGGTCTGTTAAAATTCAGCTCTGGAATCACTATGTCCTTTCTGCCAGAGATTTGGATAGCTCAGAGTTGGCTCCAGTAGCTAAGCAGAGATGCTTTTGACCACTAGATCAGAACTGAAAAATCACTTGCAGGCTTGCTAAAAAATCCAACTGAGCAGCTTGAATTAAGAATCTTCTGTATGGGAAGAGGGTGAATATGGAGATGGGAAGAAATATCCCATATACTTTCTAGTTTTTTTAAGAGTAGCTGGAAAAAAAGAACACGTACCTAAGAAATGTCTGTTGGTTTAATTGTAGTAATCAGCTCTGGGTTATTTTTCAAGTCTCAGCTCTAATTCTTACAACCTTCCATGATTTTTCTGACTAGAGAAAATACACATTTCCACACCTAACAAATATGAGTACCAGTACATGCAGAAACCTGCCCAGATGACCCAGTTCGACATCGCCGTGAAGGCTCACAACGATGCTCACCTGGCCTTGTCCTCTGGGCCACACGACATGGCAGAGATGACAGAGATTGTTATTGGGGGACATCAAAACACTAAAACATGGATTTCCATAAGCAAAATGGGTGAGCCTGTGGCCAGCAGGGACACACCTGGCATCCTCTCCTGGGATGAATTCCGCAGCTTCTGGATCAGCTGGAAAAATGGAATAATCCAGGTACTGAGTTCAGCTATGTGATGGTCTGGAAGTCTCTTGTTTTTTGAGTGGAGTTTGAGCACACACACAGAGCAGGTTGTCCTTAGGTTTGGTGTAGAAGGTGAAAGGTTTGGTGCTGTTGCTGCTTCTATCTGAAGTCCTGATCAGGCTGAGTTGATCAGAACAAATCTCTTGCCACAGTATATTCTCAGGACCTCAGTCCCAAGTTTTCAGTCCTAAGTGTGCTAAAAACCTTGAAGGCCAAACCAGTAGAATTCTCACTAAATTTCCTTGGATGGTTTTGTGGGTGGGAAAGAGGAAGGTGTCAATCCATTTCTGGTGTTCTCTGATGCACATGTGAGTTAGGAGGTCCAAGGACACGTGCCAGACTGACTCCATGTGTGTGAGCTCTTGGAACTGCATGTTTTTTTGTCCCTTTCAGGTTGGCCATGGTACTCGGGTGCTAAATGAGTCTATTATTGTGGAGTGGAGAGTCCCCAAACAGCTTGAGGTGAAGTACATTGGCTTTTCCACAGGCTGGGGGTCAATGGGAGAGTTTAAAATTTGGAGAAAAGAAGAGACTGATGAAAATCACAATGAAGCATTTACTCTTGGAGTTCCCCACAACATAATTCCAGGATCAGAAAGAGCTACGGCTTCAATAATAGGTATCAATTCTGAGGAGGTATCACTAGGGTATCAAATGGGAAGAGATTCTCCAGCTGTTCCTTCTGACCAGTACTTGAGTAGTGCACACCAGCTAAAATAGTCAGAGGCAGTTACAAAGGTTTCTGCTGCTTAATTCTGGGAGAGCTAATTGTTTGGGGTTTCTTCGTCACTTGTTTGAGCTCTGAGTTGACAGTGACTCACAGCTGATACCATCTGAGAGCTTTGCAGAGGCTCCATTAGAGCTCAATGCATTTATTGCATGATCATCATAACCACAAGTTGGGCTGTGTTCTAAGCTAGTCTAAATTGGGAAGTCCCGGAGAGCCAAACGTTGGGCTGTGTTCTAAGCTAGTCTAAACTGGGAAGTCCTGGAGAGCCAAATTCTGAAATGTGACGTTTCTTTAACCCAACAAGATCTTGAAGGTCTAAGACTTGACATCTGAAGGACTTCCCACGTATGACACAGTTGGTTTAAGCTGACTCTGTAGCCAGTAGATATTAGTGTAGTCAGGTGGGTTTAAGTGTAAGACATAAAATGTCAAGCCTGACTTGATGCTGAACTTCTCACCTCTTTCTCCTCCAGGAGATGTGATGGGTCCTACTTTGAACAACTTGGACAATCTGTTGCGATTACCATTTGGCTGTGGGGAGCAGAACATGATCCACTTTGCTCCTAATGTTTTTGTTCTGAAATACCTGCAGAAAACCAAACAGCTCAGTCATGAGGTGGAGATTGAAGCTACTGATTACCTTGTTCAAGGTAAGTCATTGCACTTGCAATTTATAGATGGAGAAAAGGCTTGTTGGAAGAGTTTTACTTGTATCATGTACTTTCTAGTCAAGAGTATCCCAAGGGATGAGGATTCATCATTGCTTGTAGGATAATCTCACAGCTTTGATGGCAAGATGTTTTTCCTTGATGTGGTGCCTTTGTTTCTCTTCAACAGCTCCTAGTTTAGATGCTTAGTGATTTATCTTCTCTATGATATCTATGTTTAAACATTTGAGAAAGTCAAGGAAAATTAAATTGAGTAAAAATCGGTATGTTTAGGGAAGTTTTGCCTTATTCATAAATTCTTTTCAGCCCTTTAGTCACTACGAGGCTCTTCTTGACTTTCTGGTTTTTAATAGTATTATCTTAGCAATCATAGAATCAACCAGGTTGGAAAAAGACCTCTAAGATCATCAAGTCCAACCCTACTGTGGTTACTAGACCATGGCACTAAGTGCCACATCCAGTCTCACCTTGAAAACCTCCAGGGATGGTGAATCCACCACCTCCCTGGGCAGCACATTCCAATGCCTGAGCACTCTCTCTGGAAAAAATCTCTTCCTAATATCCAACCTAACCCTCCCCTGGCAGAGCTTGAGTCTGTGCCCTCTTGTCCTGCTGCTGGTTGCCTGGGAGCAGAGACCAACCCCCACCTGACTCCAACCTCCTGTCAGGGAGTTGCAGAGGGTGAGAAGGTCTCCCCTGAGCCTCCTCTTCTCCAGGCTGAACACCCCCAGCTCCCTCAGCCTCTCCTCATGACACTTGCGCTCCAGTCCTTTCACCAGCCTCGTTGCTCTTCTCTGGACCTGCTGCAGCCCCTCAATGTCCCTCCTGAGCTGAGGGGCCCAGAACTGAGCACAGCATTCAAGGTGTGGCCTCACCAGCACTGAGTGCAGGGGCAGAATCCCCTCCCTGGTCCTGCTGACCACACTGTTCCTGCTCCAGCCCAGGATGCCATTGGCCTCCTTGGCCCCCTGAGCACACTGCTGGCTCCTGTTCAGTTCCTGTCTCTCCAAACTCCCAGGTCCCTTCCTGCCTGGTGCTCTCCTGTCACTCTGTCCCCAGCATGGAGCTCTGCATGGCATTGATATGGCCAAAGTGACCCAGTATAGCCAAAATCCGAAGTTAGTACCCAGAGTAGTGAAAAACCTTTGTTATGTGGTTCTGGGTTATCTCTCATTGTCCTGTCCTACCTCACTAAGCAGCAGAAACCAATCTCTCTTATTTTAATTTTTTTTTTGCCCTGTTTTTTCTCTGCATTTGTTTGGCAAGAAACACGTGCAAAATAGTTTTATAACCAAGTGCAATTCTCAGGACAAATCAGAATTCAAAGATCATTAAGAACAAGAGTGACCCAAAGGGACAAAGCTCTCTTGTGGATGAGTCAGACAATAGTCATGTCATGAAATCAGAGGTGACAGGATTTGGTGGTTCTCCTCTGAAAAATATAAATATAAAATGTAATACAGAAGATATTTCTTGTGTTCAGCAGCAAAAGCTCAGTGCTGCTTCCTTTGCCTGGCTCCACTCACTTCACTTGTCATCTTTTGGTGCTTGCTGATAGCAATGAGGCAAAGGGAATTTGTTCACAGTCCAACTCAGTGTTTCCTTTGCAACATCATTTGCTTTTGTTTCTTTTTACGGATCTGCAGCCCTTCCAGGTTCTTGGCTTCAAGCTCTGTTTGCTAATTAACCCTTACAGAAGAAATCCTCAAGAGTTTTGAACTCTTCTGTGTTTATTGGAGCCCTGCCAAGGATAAGGTTTAGATGGGAAAGTCTGTTTGCTCACTCTGGAAGGCTTTTGTGGCTTGCCAAGGCAGAAAACTTCTTCATCACTTAATCATCCATCACAGAAAGTGCTGATCCCTAACAATTCCCATATACTCCCTGATCTTCAGAAGTGGCCTCAGCTAAACCAGGCAGGTTTTTTTCTCCTTTGCCACAAGACAGTTGCACAAAAGCAGGTGAACAGGTGAAAACTGGAAAGGTGAACCTCTGCAGGGAGTCCCAGCGTTAGAAAAGAGATTCCAGAAGGGCAAACAAGACATAGTCTGTGCCACTACCAACCCAGCAAGCAAAGAAGGGTAAATGGGAGAGCACTGAAGCATAAGGAATCCCAAATGGACATTCAAACAGAAGAACAGAGGCAGTGATAAGTGATATACAAGTCCTTGCTCTGTGTCTATCTGACACTTAGGAGCAGCTTAAGGAGGAATTGCTCAGCAGTAAGTTGTCCCTGAGACCTGTGTAGAAGAAGATCAATCTAATTGAATGCAACACCTTCTGTTTGGAGGAAGCAAACCAATAATACTCTTACTTGTTCTCTCTGCCATGTGCTTTATATATCCCACATCTCCAGGCAAAGATGTGGTTACTCCAAAACTATTATTAATCTCTTGGGCTTTGTTCCTCCTATTTTTCAAGCCATTCCCTCTGCATTCCCTGTGAGCTCTAAAGCAACAGCAAAGTGTAGGAGTCATGGGCAGCCCATACTCAGGGATTGAGGAGCTGCCTGGATCTGGAGAGGTCAACAAAGAAACTTCACCTCTGGAAGTGAAAGAGTAATCCATTCCCATAAAACTGTCGTGCAGTGTGCTATGAAATATCTCCTCCTGTGCTGGAGAATTAAACAGGCCATAAATGCCTTTTGACACAATCTTGTTGCAAGGTTGACATGTTTCCTGATCAGAAATCTCCATTCCCAAGGGGTTTATTCCAATGAGCTTTGCCCAAGTGTGTGTTCTGTATTCCTCAGTGCTCTGTTAGGATGGGCAGTTTATGGCTATAGATGAACAGGTTTGAGAAGCAAATTATTTTTCTAATAGGAAGAGCATTTTGACTTTGTTAATTTTCACTCTCAGAAGACATTCCAGGAGAGAGATCTTATCACTTTGTTAATTTTCACTCTCAGAAGACATTCCAGGACATTCAGCATCCAACTTAGTAACAGTTTGTGACTTGCCGAGCCAAAAGACTTCTTCATCCCTTAATCATCCATCCTAGGAAGTGCTGATCCCCAAAAACTCCCATATATTCCCTGATCTTTAGAAGTGGCCTGAGCTAAGCCAATCAGTATTCTTGTACTGTGCCCCAACACATTTTCACTCTCAGAAGACATTCCAGGACATTCAGCATCCAACTTAGTAACAGTTTGTGACTTGCCGAGCCAAAAGACTTCTTCATCCCTTAATCATCCATCCTAGGAAGTGCTGATCCCCAAAAACTCCCATATATTCCCTGATCTTTAGAAGTGGCCTGAGCTAAGCCAATCAGTATTCTTGTACTGTGCCCCAACACACTTCCACAAGGTAATAATGCTAATAATGCTGTTTAAAAGGAGCCTTAAACAGCCTCAACAGCTTGGAAATGTTCATGAGCATGAAAATCACAGCTGTTCTTCTTGTTGTGGTACAGTTACACTAAGTTGTCCTAAGCAACAGCTTGGGAAAAGAGTCTGAATCCAGCTGTACTGGTAAAGGAAAAGCATATTCAGCCAAGTGGAAGGAGAGTGGCTGTGTGCTTAACTCAAAATCTTTTGTTTTGATACTACATTTTTTCAGAGGAGTATATCCAACCCTTAACATTTCTCCTGGCCAAAATGCAGGAGCTGCAGTGTCCCAGATGTTAGCCTGGAAGGATTTCTGGACAAGCTGCAGAATATGTAGAGCAGAGTCCGAGCTGCCTCAGGCAGCAGAATCCCTTACACGAGTGCCAGATGATCTTGAGCCTTCATTCACTTGAAATACTTGGGGTTTTTTTTCTGTGTGAGGAGTTTGGGCTCCCCCAATTCTTTTGTGACTTGCAGGCTACCAGCGCCAACTGACCTACAAGAGACAGGATGGCTCATACAGTGCCTTTGGGGAGAGAGATTCTTCAGGGAGCATGTGGTGAGTTGCTGTTTCAAACAGAGTTTGAAAAGTGTGAAGTGTTTGCTACTTGGGAAAAAAATACACAATTGGCTAGGAAAGAAGAGGCATTTTCCAGCTTCCTTCATGGTATCACACGCAGTGGAGAGTAGAAATGACAGAGTAATACTCAGTGAGGACAGGATTGCTGTTTTCATGCTGCTGAGGGTTCTTACTACACTAGGTGTGTTAGGGTTGTTTCAGGGCTCAGGAGCAGTTTTGTCAAATCTGCTCATAGGTCCAGGATTCACACACAGAGGCTTAGAATCATAAAAGCTATATAACTATAGTTAAAATCATATTTGCTCTGCTGGAATTGGAGTAGCAATTATGGGGCATTTAAGCACCTAATTCCATTAGGGAATGGAGCTTCATCTGTAGCATGTACAGAGAAATGTGTTGTCTCTAGAAGTGGCAGAGGCTTCTACCAGCAAAAAAAAACCAACCCTCAAACACCAAAACCAAGCCAGAAACCCCCAAAGAAATCTTTCTCCCACGTGGTTTATATCCCCCCATGGGTGAACTGGAATGGTGTGGCTTCATACTCTGAGATTTGCACTGCAGGACATGCAGAGTCAAACAAGAGGAGAGCCAGGAACTCTGAAACTGAGGAATCAGCTCCTCTCACCCATGTCCCCCTGAGGACAGCATGGCCTGGATGGGTCGTGTGACATCACCTCTGGTGGCTCAGCTGTAGTAGATTCTTGTCTTCATTCATTTGCTTGTGCTGTCATCTGCCTTCTCCATCTGCTCTGTGTTTGGTTTGTAGCTGATTTGCTTCACACACTCATCAGAGGGGAAGTACCACCAATGCTGCTGCCTCACTGTGCCTGAGATAGTAAACGTTTGTCTCAGCTCTGACATCTCCCAGTCCCTAGATGTAAAACATGGTGACACACAATTACTTAACACTTGAAAAATCCCCTGCCAGGCAGCATGTTTGCTACCCTCCCATTCCTCAGGGGCTTGTAAATGGAATGATCCAATCTCCCAGAGCTGGCCAGGGCTCACACTTGTTGTCAGAGGTTTAGAATTCCAACAGCACTTCTGGTGCTTTCCTAAATCTTAATCTGTACCGAGTCTAACACAACCTCAGATTTTAGCAGTGGCTCTGGATTTCTTAGAGTCATGTTGGTTCTTGATTTAAAAGCTTTCAGAATTTGGGTAGCAGCTGAGCACCTAGAAAAGAACTTCTATTTCAGGATGTGACATAACAAATCTACCTTCAGTTCTGCTTTTCAATTTATTGACCCTTAATCCGTATCAGCTGCTTTTATGTCCCATGAGTTTTTTAACAATATTTAGTGCTTCCCAATGGGATTTCTTCAAATTTGTGCTAAGAATCTAATTTTTCCCTTTGCTGATACTTTATTATTTGTTTTCTCAGTAAAGATGATCAATTCCTTTTTACAGGCTAACAGCTTTTGTCCTCAAGTCTTTTGCTCAGTCTCGTGGATTCATTTTCATTGACCCAAAAGAACTAACAGCTGCCAAGGACTGGATCATCCAGCACCAGAAAGAAGATGGTTCTTTTCCTGCCATGGGCAGGATACTAAATAAGGACATTCAGGTAAAAACTATTCAGGATGAAAGTCATTCAATAGGCCCAAAGCATGAAGTGATGCAGTGTCCTTGTGCCCTTGTGGAAAGGCTGGAAAAAAACAGGAGAATTTCAGGGAAAAAAAGATGTCTATCAGAATATCTGTGTGCTGTGCCCAGAGAAGGGAAAAGAAGATGTCAAGTCTTGCAAAACACTTGTTGTGTGCATTGAGTGTGTCCTCAGGCTACTGCCAGGGAAGGAGGCTGCAGTGTTGGGTTGGGCTCCTAAATTTCATACTCCATATGTACAAAAAAAAAAAAGAAATCTGGGATCTTCTCCTCTCATTCTAACAGATTCCCTGTCTTACTTCAAGAGTCTTTTTATCCAATGTCCTTCTCTCTAGTTTTCATCCAGTGGTTTCTTTGTTGTCCTTCAGGGTGGAATCCACGGTAAGATCTCCCTGACAGCTTATGTGGTTGCATCTCTTCTGGAAACAGGTGTCACTTCTGAGGTGAGAAAAACTCAGTTAAAACATCTCTCTGTTCTTGTTCTGAACTTCATTTCACTGAAGTTTGCTTCCAGAGCTTCTGTGCTCACTAGAGCAATAGCATCCAGCTGACAGAGGCTGCTGCAAAGCCTTGAGATTATTATAAGGTTAAGGAATCTGAAGTTATTCAAGGTGATCTCCCACCCTTCAACCATCAGCTCATGATTACTCTACCAGAGCAAAACACTTCCCTGCAGCTCCATCCTCCAAACTCTCCCAGAAATTCCTGCAAGAAGTGTTTTCTGCCTTGTAACTTCTAGGTGTGATTGCAGCCTGTGCAGATCCTGCTTCTTTGCCTGTGGAGACTCAAAGAACCTGGTTTAGTGCTCACAGCAGTTCAACTTGGGGATCCAGAGAGCTCTTGCAGTGGCCAAACAGCTACTGCTGTTAGCTTGGTGTCTTTGGAGAGCTGCAGCCCTGCAAGGGGCTGGGTTGAGGGCTCTGGACAAGAATTTTTCTCTGAGACAGAACAGAAACACACAGAAAGGAGAACAGCTACACAGAAACATGCAATTCCTCTGTGTGAATTTTGAAGTAGGAAAAGAATCAAATCCTAAATTTGCAGTACGACTGATATTTTAGAAATTCCTTCTTAAAACCTGTGGTAAAATACTGTTCCTGTCCTTTGATGTGGTTTTGATCCCATGCCATTTCACTGGAATGGAGATGCTCAGATAAGATCATGGTTAAACACTCCCATTAATTATGACTGGGGAAATGTCCCTTTGCACATGCCTTGACAAGGCATGGACACAGTTCTGCCCTTGCTCTTCAGCAGCCAAGGGGAAGAGTGGTGGTGGGAGAGTAGAGTGTACAGGTAGAGCTGTCTGGAAGATGAGAAGAGGAGGTGTAGTGAATGGTGCAGCATCTCTGGGTGATCTGGTCTTGGACAAAAAGCTTTGCCCATTGAGTTACAACCCTGTGAGTTTATGGAGATGTTGAAACAGCCAGTGCAGTATCCACTCAGGAACTCTGATCACCTCAGCACTTTTGAGCCCATCCCTCTGAGTCTCAAGAGTTAGGCCATACTGCTGTGGCAAGCAGACACCCCCAAGCCCCCTGTTCTTGCTGGAGTGGAAAGCTTTCCACATTTTCCACCTTATTAAAACCTAAAATACAAGCATTAGAAAATCCTCCAGTGCTCAGAGTGACCTCCTGCCTCCCTGTCCTGTCCCCTCTGAGCAGTGATGTGATGCTTTCTCTGGGCTGTTGTGTGTCAAGACACCCTCAGCACTTTAACTTGCTGCAAGTGTAGTTTCTATGGATCTAAGAGTTTTCCTAGAGGAGATTTGCAAGTGTTACTAATGATCTTAGCTAGGAAATGAGGAAGGGGAAGGTTAGTGCCACAGGGAAATCAAAGGAAACCAAATTACATCAAGTCCAATTAAATTGTTTCTATAAATTATCAGAGCCACGTTCCTGCACGGTGAGGTCATTGAGGGAGTTAATAAAACATGTTTGTTGGCTGCAGGGACCCCTGGGAACCTTGGCCTTTATTATCCTCTGGCGTCTGCCAGACGCTCCAGAGTGTCAGGAACACAATCAAACCTACAGTAGAGAACTCACCCTGCTCTGTTCATCTGCTGCCTTGCAGGGCCATGGGATTTCTTCAGCTTTAGGGGCAAAAATGTGTCTCAGTATTAGTGCAGATCATTCTTGCTCTGCTCTTTGCTCCAGGGCCATGGCATTTCTTCAGCTTTAGGGGAGAAAATATGTCTCAGTGTCAGTCCAGATCATTCTTGCTCTGCTCTTTGCTCCTTTCTGTTTGAATTTGTGGTGCATGGCTTTTCTTAGGGAAAGGCAAGTGTCCATGCCATTCTGCAGGGAGCAAAATGCATCTTTCCCAGTTTGTTGGGTGGTGTTGGTTGGTTTTGTTGTTGGGTTTTTGAATGGGCACCATGTGATGAGAAATAAAGCCATTCTACCTTCTGAGGTTGGTAATAAATGTGGTCTCTTTCCCCTGACTATAGGAAGAAAGAACAGCTGTTGACAAAGCAAAACACTTCCTGGAGTCCAACCTGTATTCAGCAGAAGATCCCTACACCACTGCCCTGACTGCCTATGCCCTGACCCTGCTGCACAGTCCCTCCGCGGCCGCGACGCTGCGCAAGATGAACAGCTTGGCCATCACCCAAGGTATGTATATATATGTATATATAACAGCTTGGCCATAACCAAAAGGTACTGTGCTCCAGGTCCCCTCTGAGCCCTGAGCTGCCACTCCCCCTGCAGGGACAAGCAAATAGCCCCTGCAGGTGGAATGCTGTGTTTGAGCTTGGCTTTGCAAGGCAAGAGTGTTCCTGATTCTCTGTGCTGAGCCCTCAGTTCCACATGTGCAGCTGGAGCAGAGGGAAGACCAAGTGGAGCAGATGGAAGACAAGTGGAGCAGAGGGAAGACAAGTGGAGCAGAGGTTCTGCAGTGCCTTCCCTGTCCATGACAGGGTTTGCCTTGTAACACATCACATTCCCTGAGGGGGTATTTTGGTCCAAAATCCAAGAATTACCTAATTTGTCACGTTCAGTCATCTCTGTAGCTGCAAAGCTCCTCTTGCTCAGGGAATGCCTGTCTAACAGGGGGGACAGCACAGTTCAGGGCATGGATCTGTTCTGAGTTAATGCAGAAGTGCAATTTGACTCTTCCCATACACAGAGCTCAGCTGCACTCCCAATAACACCCACATTCCCCATCCTCTCTTCCTAGATGGCTTTACACACTGGAGCCTCACAGGAACTCTTGTTACTGATGAAGATACCTTCATGGGATTTAATGATGGACTCTCTCAGTCAGGTAATCAGGAGCTAAGGTCCATTCCAACCCCTAACATACTGTGATGCTGTCAACTTGTAGTGCAAAGACAGATAAGGGAATGGGCTGCAACACCAGGCCCTTGGCTGAATGTATTCTAGGGAAATCTTTCTGTAACACAGGGTGTTCTGAACTTGGGAGTCAGGCAGGGCAGGACCCAGGTGAAAGGAGAGCTCACAAAAGGCAGGTGATGTTATGCTGGAAGAAGAGATGAGAGCCAGAGCAGGATGTGGTCCAGAGAGGATGGACTTTCCAGCTGTCTTGCCAGTTTTCACTCCAGTTTTATAAAGACAGAAGAGTGAGAGCCATATGGGATTCCACCAGGGAAAAAAATGGAATCTGGATGAAGTCAAATACATTGAATTTTAGAGCTATTTCTCTTTGTATTTTAAGATGGACCTATAAAGCTTTTATGGGCCTGCACTGGCACTGCAGCTTTTTTTCTAGACTTGAACTGCCAAAGCCACAGCAGCAGTGACTGATGCTGTAATTCTCAAGTCCCTTAAAGCTGCTGACTCTTTGGTTAGGATGTAGGTGCACCAATGTTCAGGAGGGATCTGACTGGGTATTGTATGAAGGTCTCTAGGATAGGAACACAGTGTGGGCAGCAGCAAAGTAGAAGTGGAATGGGAAAGAAATTACTTGTGGGATACAATCAAGCAGAAAGGAGGTTATCTATTGTGTGAAGAAAAGAGCAGAGTTATCTTGGGAAGTGATGCAACTTGGGTGCAGATATTTTACCTTCACTTTTCCTGTCTTTACTCTACAGACCTAACTTTATTCAATTATTTTTCAGTAAATGAATACCCATAGAACTATCTCTCGGCCTGCCCAGATTGTCACTTCTAGGTGGTATTTTGATGATGATTTTCTCTTCATTCCCTCCTCCTTCAGTTGTTTCTGCAGAAGTGGAAATGACGTCCTATGCCCTTTTGACATACACACTCCTAGGAGATGTGGCCTCTGCTCTCCCAGTGGTAAAATGGCTTTCACAGCAAAGGAATGCACTGGGAGGATTCTCATCTACTCAGGTGAGCTGCCTCTGGAAAAGGAAGCTTTGGTGCATGCATAATCAGTGGATTCAGGAATGGTTGAGGCAGAGTTTCCATCTAGGGTCTAGACAGAAACTGTTTGTGTTCTGGTACCAAGCAAAACTTTCCAGTGCTCTTAATGGTTTCCTTCTCAGAGTGATAATTTAAAGGGAAAACTAGACTTTGTCCTCACAGATGCCTTTGGCAGCAAAAAACCTGACATTTCTTTTGCTATCTGAATTAATAAGGAAGACTGTGCTAGCAGGAGCTGATGGCTAGAGCACAGTTGTTTGGAAGTTTGCTGTGCTCCTCACTGTTCTGATCTCTCCCTCTCCTGATCCCCAGGACACCTGTGTGGCCCTGCAGGCTCTGGCTGAATATGCCATCCTGTCTTATGTTGGAGGAGTCAACCTGACCATTTCCTTGGCTTCTACTAATCTGGACTACCAGGAGACATTTGAGCTTAACAAGATGAATAAGAAAGTCCTCCAGACTGCAGTGGTAGGTGGTTTTGTCTCTGTGGAGCTAAATTTCTAGGGCAATTCATGTGAGTTGAGTTCTGAATGGCAACTCAGATCAGTAGTTGTGAAAGAACAGGTTAAACACTTGGATCTTGGGATTTTGTGAGGGTTTAGGGCTGAGCTGTGGTGTGAAGGAGGCAGCACTCAAAGACATTTGTCAGTGTAACTAAGACCTGATGCTTATTTTGTGCTGCTGCTTGTTTCTGCCACTGTAAATGCAGCTGGCTGAAAAGTGAGCCATGTTCACTTCACCTCTGCAGTCTCCTTTAGAACCACAGAGATATTTGTACAAAATCAAGCTGAATTGATGTTCATTTCCATTCTGAGTGCCATGTCTTGTCTTACCTGTGGATTCTCCCCAGATCCCCAGTATTCCGACGGGGCTGTTTGTGAGTGCCAAAGGTGAAGGCTGCTGTCTCATGCAGGTGAGGTTTGCCATGGGGCTGGAGCAACTGTGTGAGAAGATGATCACTAAACTTAGTCTGTTTGCTGCTTTTCTAATCCCAGTTTGCTATGGGGAACGAGTTACACTTGGACTTTCTCTCAAAGTATTTCTATAATGTGGTGTTGCTTTAATACATGGAAGAAAATTTAATGGTCCTAGAGTAGATCTGCTCTGTTACAGCTTTACCTCTATATATCTCTGTGATAAAGCTTCTTTTGCCTCTGTGCCTGCTATTCCCTCTCTCTGGAAACTCTGCTGTTTATGTTGGTCTTTAGGGAACACTTGTAGATGCTACGAAACACTGAGGTCTAATAAACTGCCCTGATTTGTTTTGCTTTTCTCCCCTTTCTGCTGCAGATTGATGTGACTTACAATGTTCCTGATCCTATTGCCAAACCAGCTTTCCAGCTCCTGGTTAACCTGAAGGAGCCAAAGTCAGAGCAGCATCTCCAGGCTCCAAATCCCCTGCGGTCTGGCTCTGCGGACGAGAATCGCTCCGAAGCCTTGCACAGGGAGAGGGCACTGGGGGATGATGATGATCCAGCATCAGACCAGGACCATCGGGAGTACAAAGTCATCCTGGAGACGTGCACTAGGTAGGGAATGCCAACCTGCATCTGTTTCTCACAGTTTGCTGATCAACACCTCTATACCCACACAGGAAAAAACACCGAGTTCTGGCAGCACTGTCTGTGTCTCAGACAGGGTAAGGCACAACTTCCACCCACCAGTGTGGGTTGTAGGATCATAGAATCATCAAGGTTGGAGGAGACCTCTAAGATCAGCAAGTCCAACCATTAACCTGTCACTGCTGGAACCCCTAAACCTTAAACCAGATCCTCCAGGGCTACATCCAGACACCTCCAGGGCTGGTGCTTCCACCACCTCCGTGGGCAATATCCCAGTGCCTGACCAGAGTCATTCCATAGTCATTCCTGAGCACTGTCTGTTGGCTTTAATCATTTCAGTGTGCTAAGTGTATGTCAAAGGTGGAGAAATAATGACAAAATTTACAAAGATGGCAACATTTTAGGGTTTTATCATGAAGTTTCATTATTGCCTCTCCAAACCCTGAAGATGATGAATGGAATGTCATTTCCTTGTGTCAGGAGGGAATAAAAAAGTTTTGGATTATTTTTTATGTCTTCAGTAACAGAGTTTCCTTAAAAGCCTCAAAGAGTGAGATAAATTCAACTGGTTAACTAATAATTGTGTCAATAGCTTTTATAAAGAATATTGACTTGACTTTCATATTAGAGTTTCTCATTCTTCAGCTTTGGATACTAAAATCCTCCTAGAAGGTGCTTGTTGCCATGGTATGAGTTTGGGACCTGTGGCAGAGGCACAATCTATGCAGATATCTGTTAATAAGCTCTCAAAAGCTCAGTCCTTATCTCCTTGTTCCTCACAAAGAAATTCAAAGTAAGGTGCCATGATCCAGAGATTTCATTTCTAGCTCTCAAAGCACTTTGCAAAGACTCGAGCAGTTCTGTCTGATAATACAGATACTACAAAACCCAGCTTGGCTATAGACAAACAGCAGTGAGAATAGTTTCTGACCTGTGTTCAATTCACTTACATGGTTTGCTTGGACATGTCAGTGCTGCTGCACTTGTCAGGGGCTGCTGATCTCTTTGTAAAGGGTTTGGATTTTTAAGGAGGTTGTTGGGAAGTTGGCCCAAAAGAGGGAAAGCCACTACCCAAGTAAATAGGGAGGTCTTACAGCATCCTGCTGTGCAACAGAAAGAACCATTCCCAAGGAATTCAGACCTCAGCTGCATATTGGTGACCAGGAGCATGGCAGGTGCTGGAGCTGCTGCTTCTCTGACCTCCAACAGCAAAGTCAAGTGAAGGGCTTGGATGTAATCCATGCAGATGGAAAACTCTGGCTCCCTTATCAGTTTAATGGAAAACTCTGGCTCCTGTATCAGTTTGTCTCCTTCCTTCCTGCAGAGGCAATGCCATCCAGGGATTGCAGAACTGAGCACAGCTGGAGTGTTCCAGGCAAAGAGGAGCTCTTGCTGTCTCTGTCACACACTTACTTGCCCCTTGCCCACATGGCTGTGCTGCTGCCAGATCCACTGCTCTGGAGGCCACAGGCCTGGGAAATCCTGGGCCAGGCACTCACAGCTGAATTCTTCCTCCCTCCACTGACAACAGCCAGTGATGAGCAACTCAACCTCATCCTCCACAAGTTTGCCAGGGTTGGTCTGGCTGTGTATACACAATATCATTGCCTCAACCTCTACTCCCCCTGCCCAAGCTCTCAGCTTGTTTTGGGGAGGGGTTTGGCTTATATTGCTCTGTCAGTGCCTTGAAGATTGCTGTAACTAAGGAGGCTGCTCTGCATCAACACAACCTCTCTGTTGATATCTCTGAAACTTCTGCCTTGGGAATTGCTGCAGCGAAGACAGAAAATTGAGAGGAAGCCCAGTGCAAGGAGATGGATTGCTTGGAAAGAAAACAAAAGCAAATGAAATCTTCTTTTCCTCCTCTTCTTCCTGTAATGATGCTCTCAACTCCATCATCATCTTATTAAGGCCATGCAAAGAGAGGAGTGTGTCTAAGGGTGCCAGCTGAAATGTTTTGATCTAGGGGTGTTCTCAGAATGTAATGAGGTGTTGTCATGCTCAGTGGAGTCCTTGGGGCACTTTTGAGGCCTTAGGGAGAACACAGGGTGGGAAACAGAGGGCTGTGATACATAACAGAGAATGCAGGCAAAGGGACACTGCAGGAGTTTTTATGGAGCATGGAGTTAGATCTGCATTAACAAGGCTTAATGTCTCTGGGAGCCTGTCAGGCCTGAACTGCCTCCCCCAGAGCAGCTGGCTCTGTCCCCAGGCACCTCATGCTACTGTGGGTGTTGGTTGGCTCTGTGTAGGACCTCAGCTCACCCACCCACCCTGAGGGTCTCCAGAGAGAGAGAGGCCTCCAACTGGTCCTGCAGGAGCCAGCCCAGAGCTGGCAAATCCCTTCCTGGAAGCTGTGAACTGTGTGTTTTCTCAGTGCTGGCCATGAGCTAATGAGCTCTCCTGGGTCCACACTTGTAGTGGTGCAGCTAAGCAGCAAACAGGTGTGAGGTGCCAAGGAGGGAGAGCTCTGAGCTGGCTGGGAATGTGTGGAGAAGGAGTGTTGTTCTGGGATCAGCATTTCTTCTGCCACCCTGCAAGAATTGAAATCTTTTGCAATGGCCCAAAGAGACTTTGTCTCCACCCCTCCCTGTGTGGGGGTTTTATGCACAGTGCAGCACTAACCACTCTGAATTTCAGTGTGTGTTTGGAGTGGTCATAGATATTCTAGAGGATGAGCAGTGAGTTCTTTAACACCAGTAAGGAGGGAGTAAGTTTGCTGACTCGTTAGCAAAGATAC